GGGGAGGAGAGGAGGAGGAGGAGGAGGAGGAGGAGGAGGAGGAGGACGAGGAGGAGGAGGAGGTGGAGGAGGGGGAGGAGGAAGAGGGGAAGAGGAGGAGGAGGATGAGGGGGGTGGTAGGAGGAGGAGGGGGGGAAGTGGAACGGGCCTCTTCCTGCCAGGGCATGCCCCCAGATCCCATCGGCGGAGACAAAAGTCCCATCAAAAAACCGCGTACTGCAGCCAGAAAACTTCAGCCTCAGGCCCCTGGGACCAGACCTTCGGTAACGCCTCAAAGTCAGTCAAACACACACACACACACAACAGAGTCCGGGCCCGGGTGCCCAAATATCATAAACATAGCACCAGTTCAGGCGCCATAGATCGAACGAAGCCAATGCTTCAGAGTCCCACACGCAGTGGCAAGAGCCTGTCCCGTGGAATGCCCAGGGGCCGAGCCCAGCGACCAGGCTTTCGGGGGATAGCCTCGTGGCCGCGGCGCGCGGCACGGCAGTGGGGACAGGCTGCTCTTTTGGTTCCGGCGTTCTTTGCAGTTTTGTTTTGTTTGCGGCAAGACCACCTCGGTCGACCCACGTCAGTTCATTGGGGTGCGCACGCGGTCTAAGAAGGGCCAGGAGAATTCAACCAGCATCCTGCAGGGCAAATACAGTGGAGACCCGTGCCTAGGAACATCGTGCTTGCCTCCAGGGTGCTCTGGGTTTCTTGAGCTTCGATTGTTTTGCCTTGGAAGGCGCGACGTTCCCTTCCACCGAAAACCAACGGACGTCCTGGGGTCTCAGGGTTGGGTTTCTTGGGGAAGGTTTCTTGTGGACTGGCCTCCACTGTATGGATCTCGTCGCCCTGGCCACCTCCTCCTCCTCCTTTTCCTCCTCCTCCTCCCTCCTGCCTCCTCCCTCCTTCCTCCGCCCTCACCTCCTCCTCTGCTCTCCCTCCCTCCTCCTCTTAGACGGGCCTCTACTGGATCCCAGTCACCGCTGGCCGCCGGCGGCTCTCATCGCGGCCGAAAGCGCGGCGGACGGACGCCCGTCGAGAGATGCACCTCCCCAGAGTCTGTGGCGAGTGTTCCAGCTGCGTGGGCTGCCGCATTTATGAAAATCCACTCGACTGCCGCATCTATGGAGATCCAATCGAAGTCTCCCCAGTCTCTCTCCTCCTCCCTGCACCCCTCCTCCCTCCCTCCCTCTTCCTCCCTCCTCCCCCAGGCGTTCTCCGGAGATCCTCTGCGGAGGTCCCTGGAGCTCGAGGTCCCCGCAGGCCTCCCGAGGCAGAGACCCTCGAACCTCGCCTGGGCCCCCTCGACGTCGACCACCATTTTTGCCGGGCAGTCGAAGGCCAGACTGGCAGACTGAATTGGGCTTCTGGGGCCAAGCCGGCACCGGTCTCCTGCGAGTTCCATTTCAGTGCCAGATTGGGTCGCATGCCAGATTGCTCCTCTAGTGATATATTTCTGATGCTGGGGCCATTTGCCAGATTGCCAAATTGGCGCCAGATTGTCTCTCGCCAGATTGGATCAGATTGACTCCATCGCCAGATTGCCAGATTGGACCCGCCAGATTGGACCCGCCAGATTGGCGCCGACTACCCAGTATATGTATATACATATATGACTCTGAAACTTCAAGATCTGCGACCTGCGCCGTTGGGGCTCAGGGGGCAACCGCCTTGCGCCGAACGTTTGATGAGCCCTCGCAGGGGCGCGGAGGTTGATCTCTGTCGAGGTCTTCGCCCGCCCCACCGGGCGCGGGTTGTACACCACACCCGATGCAGACCACACCTCTCGGAGGCGCCGGCTCGGTGTCGGACGTTCCTCGCGAGTCGTTCGCTGACGGTGCTGGGGCCGGGACGGGGCCCTCGGAGGCCGAGAGCGGAGAAGCACCGGCCATCACGAAGAACATCCCAAAGCATCGATCTTGCAACTCCTCCTCCTCCTCCTCCTCCTCCTCCTCCTCCTCCTCCTCCTCCTCCTCCTCCTCCTCCTCCTCCTCCTCCCTCCTCCCTCCTCCCTCCTCCCTCCTCCTCCCTCCTCCCTCCTCCTCCCTCCCCCTCCTCCCTCCTCCTCCTCCCTCCTCCCTCCTCCCTCCTCCCTCCTCCCTCCTCCTCCCTCCTCCCTCCTCCCTCCCTCCTCCCTCCTCCCTCCTCCCCTCCTCCCTCCTCCCTCCTCCCTCCTCCCTCCTCCTCCCTCCTCCCTCCTCCCTCCTCCTCCCTCCTCCCTCCCTCCTTCCTCCTTCCTCCTCCTCCTCCTCTCTCCTCCCCCTCCTCCCTCCCTCCCTCCTCAGTCTTCCTCATCCCTCCTCCCTCCTCCCTCCTCCACCTCCCTCTTCCTCTGCCTCCTCGTTCTCCCCCGTCTCATCCCTCCTCCCTCCTGCTTCCTCCTCCTTCTCCTTCCCTCTTCCGCCCCCGCCTGCATCCTCGGGCCCTGGCCCGCCCGCGCCCCCCTCCCGCGGCAGGTCTTGCAAGGCCGTCTCTGCCCGTCCGCTTGTCTGCCAGTGTCGGCCTGCCTGCCCGTCTGCCCGTCCGTCTGCGCTTCGGCCGTGCCGCTCGGTTCGGTGCGCTGCAGGCCCTCGGGCGTTGTCGACCGAGGGGGGGCGTTCACGCGAGGTCCGTCCCCGCTTCCTGCGCGTGCTCGCACCCTCTCCCCTCCGCAGCCCGGAGTGGATCGGGCCAGAGCCCGAGGAGGGCGACGGTGCCGCCCGATGTTGATGGCACAGCGTTTTGAGAGAACGTCCATCTCCGAGAGGCGCTCTCGGACATCTTCGAGCGTGCCCGTCGTTGGCCTTTCCGGCCTCGTGCTGCCTTCGGCAGCCGCGCCTCGCCGAGAACGTTCTGGGGGGCGCCCGGGCCGTCCCCACCGGCCGCCGCGGAGGCCCGAGCTGCATATGCTTGCTTTCGTCGGTCGCCGGCTCGGCGTTGCCGTGCAGCGGTGTTGCCTTTGACGCGCCAAGCTGCATCAAGACAGCGAAGGGGGTCCGCCCCTCCCTCGACCCTCCTCGTTCGAAGGGGAGCATGTTCGCAGTCGTGCACTCTCGGGGATCCGCACGGATCTCCTGGACCGGCGCTGGACCCGCGCCAGGGGCGGCGTTGGAGGTGCCGCTAGGGATGAGCTTATGGAGCGATGGTCGTCTCGCTGGGTTCATGGGAAAGTCAGAATTGTCTCGGTCCTCTGGCGTCGTCTGCGCAAGTTCTGCCCCGTGGCGATGTGAAAGATGTCTGCAGCCACGTGCGTGCGTGCGCGCAGGGGAAACATGAAAGTTGTCTGACCCGTTCGCGCTGGTCGCATCAGAAGGGGCCCCCAGTCACGGGAGGCAGGCGGTTGGTTTCCAGGCGTTGCCCGCTCAGCTCCGCGCGACGCCCCAAAACACAGCGTGGCGGTTGGTTGCTCCTCGTCGTCGGTTTGCGGAGGCCGGTTTCACGGTTCTGTGACCTTCCAGGCATGCATCAGGATCGGACTTTGGGGTGCGGGGAGTGGGAGTGGTCGTCTGGGGCCGACGTCGCCCGCAGATCTCAACGTCGGAGGAGGGGGTCCCCAGACGTCCGACGGCTCCACGGTCTCGTGCCTCGGGGCCTCGGGTCTGGACCCCGCCGTGTCGTGAGCAAGGACACGGCCAGGGGCAGGCATGCACCTCTTGGGACAAGGAGCAAATCTTGGGGGCAGGGTCGAGGGGTCGGGAGATCGCATATGGGGCAAACCCACGGCACAAGACCTGTGTGGACGATCCGATCGTTTCGAATCTCGGGGTTTCAGAGCTCTCGACCCCATTCATTGGGTTCGGTTTTTGGTCGACGGCTACGAAAACAGCTTGCCGAATTTGCAGAAAAGTGCAGGCTGCATATGTTCGAATCCCTGAAGGTATGGGTCCTCCCTCTGCTTCTGGCTCCCGGGTCCCAACTAGGACCTCGGAACAACGTTTCGGGACGATCCAGGCCCATGCAGATTAACTATTTCCCCGAGTTTGGAGAGCATGTTGGAAATTTGCGAAATCATCAGAAGTCCTCGATCCTCGATCGATCCTCCGTCCTCGACCCTCAACCCGCTGGGCGGGGCAGGCATCTCCGAGGAACTGACATCGCTGAACAGCAGCGCAAAGCACCAGGCGGCAGCCCTGCCGATGCTCCAGCGGCTCGGCCTGGCGAAAGGAGGAGACGCCGCTCCCGCCGATGGCTCTTTCTGCTCCTGCCCCCTCTGTGAGGAGAGGGAGGAGAAGAGGGGACGATGTGAATCAGGAAGCAGGGAGGAGGACGAGGCCGAGGCGGCTGAGGCTCACAGGTGGTAAGCACGGCGACGCCCCATGGAAGACCCTCCTATCTCCCTCATGGTCCTACCTCCTCTCATCCTCCTACGGCATCCTCCTCTCTCATCTTCTTTCTCCCTGTTTCTCTGTCTGTATTTTTGGCTGTGCAGGCACGCGCTTCAGAGGGGCATATGTCTCCTCGGGCCAAGCTCTTCGCCATTCAGACAGTCATGGTTCGCAATGGCGTTGGAGGCAAAAGAAGTCGAGGCTTGTCGTCGGTGCAATCGTCCTGGGACCCGTCTACTGCGCCTTGGCAGTCCAGCAATCACGGTTATCACAGCAAGGGTGGGGAGGAGGTCTTGGCGGCTCCGCGCTGGAGAAATATTCGGCGTGTGGACGCGGTCAAACCTCGGTGCCGGCATCGGCACGCACACGCCGTGGTGCTCCCCGTCGGCTGCCGTCTCGGTCTGCTCCTGCTGGTCCTCGTGGGTGCTTGGTTTCGTCGGCGCGACGTCCCCCAACGTCCAGGCCCCAACTCCACCAGGACAGTGGTGCCAGGCTCGCAGCTTGGCTGGCCCCAGGGGTACAGCCACCCTCAGAGTGTCCCCAGCAGCAGAGTGGGTACGGAAGAGTGGGTACGATGCCCAGCGGCAGCTCTTGTTCATTTTGGACAGGACTCGTTGTCCGCGCCGCCGCGGACGTTGCTCTTTGAAGACAAAAAACCGCCCGCCCAACAGTGGCCGCTGTCAGTTTTGGACAACATTTGTGGTTCAGCATTGTACCCAATTGTTTCCGTACCCATTTCGGAACTTACACGCATTCGCCCGGGAGCATCGCCAAAGGCACGGACCATCGGCGCCCCTGGATACATGTTTTGCTCTCCCCAGGGCCATTCGCCCCCATCGTCACTCCAGATAGTCGGGAGCGGCAAAGGGAGGCGTGATGACTAGGGGGTGCGATATCGTAGTGGGGGCCATGATACCTCCCCAGATGTCATGGCGCCTCTCCTTATTTCAACGCATCCCCGCCCCCATGGGCCGCGTACACGCCGCCGGCCATGATTTGCGCCCCCCTTCTTGGACTCCCCCCTCTTGGACGCCCCCGATTTCTTCTGGGGGGGCACGACTGGCATGGGTAGGAAAAGGATGGGCACAAAGACCGACAGCAGTTCCAGCTCATTTTGACAAGGGCTCGCTGTTCGCGCCGCCGTGGATGTTTTCCTTGTGAGACAGAAGGCCACTTGCCCAGCAGCGGCCGCTGTCGGTTTGGGACAATGATGTTGGGCATCGTACCCATCTGTCCGTACCCACTGCGGAAGTCCAAAGTTTCTGGTGCGGCACGTAATTAGAAGTCTAAGTGTCCTCGTCACCTATCTTGCGCGCGCCATTGGAATACGTTAGATGCACGTTGTCAAGCCCAGGCAGGCATGGTGGAGCGCGTCGTGTGATGGAGTTGGTGTAGCTTGCCGTCATCTAGCGTGCTGCTGGTTCCATCTCAACGGGCACATCCCGGCAACACAGCAGTGGGAAAGTCGGGACCCGATCGGTAATACGTGCATGCACAAGTTCCTGATCAACCACGGATCGGAGGAAGGAGGAGGTCGTCGTTTTCTTATCCATTGTTTTGCCGATCGGCGCGGGCCCCCTCCCCCCCTGCCCCATGGAGTAGATCCTGGCTGCTTTTTGGCGCATGTCTCGAGCGGGTGGAGAGCTCCCCCAGAGGCCGCGCTGTTGCAGACAGCGGCAGTACGCAGAGGTCCAGAGCCAGACCCCCCCCTCCCCCCCTTCCGCCCAGTGTCGAAACGACGAGTCAGAAAACGTGGACGATCCTCGCCGCCACACGTAGGGGGCGGAGGTGGGTGGTGTGGGGCGGTGGCGGTGTCCAAACGGAGTGCATTTTGCGGTGGGCAGTCTGCGCGCCTGCAGCCCGCGGAGCGGCCGATCCTGCACAGTGGAGGCCCACGCCAAGAAGCACCCTGCTGGCCTCCAGGGTGCCCTGGGCTTCACTGGGTTTCGATGGTTTTGCCGTTGAGAGCGTGACGTTCCCTCACAGAAATCTATGGACGTCCTGGGGTCTCAGGGTTTGGCTTCTTGTGGAAGGTTTCTTGTGGACTGGCCTCCACTGTACTTCGAGTCTCGGTCCCCTGGACCTCTCGACCTTTTCCCCCGGGCCAGGTTCTCGTCACGACTCGTTTTCGACGGCCCAGGGCATTGAGTGATGTGCACCTCGCCAGGTATACTTCAATCCGATAGATTTGGTTCGCTATCGATTCCGGTTGTCCCGCTTCGATTCCGGCGTTCGGTCCATCCGATGCGGCCCGATGCTTGCCAGGCGTTGTTGTGCGCGGTTGGTCCGACTCGGTTCCGACTCCGCTCCGAAGCAGACCGACCCGAGGCACGTTCCGAGTCGTTCCAGTTTCCCGATTCGATGTTGATTGGCCCTGATACGGAGCGCGGCCATGCTGCCAGAGCAGTGCTCTTCATTCCCCCGACACGTCGACGACCCTTAGGACGTCTGTTGGCCTCCTGTGCCCTGGCATTCCTCGGTTCCACCGATGGCACGAGGCTTGTGTCGGCCCTGATTCCTCAGCCTGCGCCCCTTTGTGGTATCGAACGGCCCTCGTTTAACGGGCGAAGAACGGTATAACATAAACTTTTTCGCTGTCGGGGGCGCCTGTCCCTGGGCGGCTGGAAAGTTTATATCCTTACGGTGCCACCGTAAGGGTGCAAACTTTCCAGCCGCCCTGGGACAGGCGCCCCCGACAGGGAAAAAGTGTATTTCATACCGTTCTTCGCCCGTTGACTCGTGGACAAGCACGCGTCGACGCTAACCTACGTCAGAAGTGTTGAGGATCATCGAGCCCTCCTCGTCCACAGACGCCCCGCGCCGCCGAGCGTCAGGAGCCCCTGCGGCTGCCGCCGCCGAGTCGGTGGACCTCCTCGGAGGAGGCCCCCTGGGGAGCGGCCGGCGACCGCCCGCGGGCCCTGCCCCTGTGGGCCCAATCGCCACCGGAGTACCCTCCGTAGACGGGCCAACGGCGATGTAGGTAGCGGCGATGTAAGTTCTGGTATGTTTTGCACGCGCGGCTCGAGCTTTCCTACAGTTCGCTGTGCCGTGTTCGCTCGATCCATTCGCAAAGAGGAGATGTAGAAAAGTGTGGCTCGGTATTTCCCACAATCTGGTTCCCAACATCACCGTCAGTCAACATCGCCGTCAGCCCAGCCTGGGACCCTGAGATCTGGGTGGCGCCAAACGGTCGTGGCGGCACGTCTGCTTTTTGCAGGTGCTCGGCCCCAGGGCAGTCAAAGAGCGATGCGGGACGGAACGCTGGGCCCACGAGGAGGTCGAGGCCCTGCGGGGGCCGAAGCTCGTGACGGTGCGTCTGTTCTTGATGCGTTCGATTTCGAGGCCGTTTCCCGGCCCCGGGACAGTCAGAGAACGATTCGGGACGGAACGCCGAGCCCAGGAGGGGGTCGAACCCTCTCGGGGCCGACGTCGCAAGATTGCGCTGTCGGAGGAGAGGTTGCTACCCTTGCGCTGTGGAAGTTGATTAATGGAGCGGAAGCGTGCTGCCAAGCCATGTCCAGGTGTCTAACACATGTTTCAAGCATGGTTTGAATCTTGAAACATGTTTGAAACATGTTTAGAACATGTACTACACATTTCAAACACATGTTTCATTCAATGGTAGGATTGTTAGAGTGTCTATTGTCATGGCATCCACAGCCCTTGCGTGTCTAATCGCCGCTGGGATATCAGGCCCCCCGTGGGGGTTTCATTGGTTCCAGGCGTCCTTCGGAGGCCCTTGTCGTCACTGCTGGATTCGTCTCGAAATTCTGGTCAGAACTCACCCTGGGAGAGGTCTGGGGAGTAGCGGTATGGGTACCTTTGGTTTCCCCAGGGCCTCCACTGGCACGCCCGAGAGGTGCGTGTGTGCGGGAAAACCAGGCACGATACCCAACAGCCGTTGCTCGACGTCGCCGATGCATCGCCGACGTTGACGATGCATCGTCGGTGCATCGCCGATACATTGCCGATGCAGCGCCGATGTATCGGCGATGCTTCGCGATCCTCCGACCTCATCTACTCCGACCTCATCTAGGAGGCCTCTATCTTAGGCAGGCGACCTTCTGTCTCAAGTTGGCAACGTCCGCGGCGACGCCGACAGCGAGTCCTCTTCAAAAGGGATAGGTGCTGCTGTGCGTCTTCGTTACCTCTTTTTCCGAACCCATGTCGATCATACCGACTTCAGGTCGGTGCTTTTCCCTCCGCTTCCTTGTCCTCCCCTGGCCGGCTACCTGGAGCTCTGGGCCAAATCTGCTTGTGGCATCTCTCGAGCCAGATAGATCCGCGAGGGCCCCAGGTCTCGAACTTTCGGGGGTACGTAGAAGGGCAGGGAGCGATCCTAAGGTTGATATGTTCCTTCTCCAGGGCGATATCGCTCTAACCCCACCTCTGGGCCCACCCCCACCTGTACGCCCCTGTGAAACCTCAGCGGGAACGCCCGGTGCGAAACACATCCACGCCTGGATCTCAGGGTTCAGGGTCCCGCACATCCGACGATATGTTGTTTTCAATGCGCGGGCAGCAGAAGTCCCAAACCCTCCCTGGAGTTGTCCACCCTGGACCCATGTCTGATTGGCTGGAGTCTCGGTTCGCCAGGGCTCGGTTCGCCAGGCCGGGCCTTGTTCGCCCGGGCTCGGTTCGCGTTCCTGGCCCTTGGTGCTCCCGAGGGCGAGCGCGGCGTGTTCTGTCTTGCTGGTACAGCTGGGGCGCGCATCAAGAAACCCAACTGCTTGTCGCCAGGGTATCCTGGGGTTCTTCGATCCGCGCGCTGCGCGGTTCAGGGTGCCCCAGGCTTCCACCCAGTCGCACCTCCCGCGCGGGTCTTCAGGGTTGGGTTTCCTGCGAGGGTTTTTGCGGCCGCGTCCGCATTGGATCGCAGCGGCACTTTGGCAGCAGTAGTGGCCACCAGGCGCGATGGTACAAACAATACACGAGGGACGGTTGGTGACGGCTTCCCGTCTCTCCCACCCCGGCACCTTTTTCGAGGATGAGGCGCAACAGGCTTCGTCTCATTCTTGCACAACACAGTGGGGGGAAGAGGAGGAGGAGGAAGAGGATGGAGGTTGTGGGAAGGAGAGGGAGGAGGGGGAGGACAGTGAACGAAGGGCAGGAGAGGGACAGTGATGAGTGCGAAGAGGATGAGATGAAAAGGGAGGAGAAGAATACGACCACGACGATGACGAACACGACGGCCACGATCCCTCCACCACTTCATCCCCCCCCAATGGACAACGACAGAGACCGCGAATACTACCATGGCGGTTGATCATCGATTATGACCACGACCATTACGACAACGATTGGGGGCCTCTCGGGTGCCTCTTGGGGCCCTCTTGGGACCCTCTTGGAGCCCTCTTGGGGCTCCCTTGGGGCTCGTGTTAGGAGCTCTGGAGCGCTCTTTGGGCCATCTTCGAGGCTGTCGACCAAAGGAGGGAGGCACCCGCTCGAGGCCCCCCCCCCGGAAACGACGAAAAATGTACACCAGGGTCTCGTATACACCAGGATCTGCTCTCCAGTGCAAATTTCAATGCAGGGCCAGAAAAAGCGTCGGTGTATAGATTCGATTCCCTAAGAAAGATATCGTTAGACCACCTGCGCCCAGAGGGCTGGTGGGATTTGGGAAGTCAGAGGAAGACACTGGAGATCGACGACCACGGCCACGACGAGCAGCGCCGCCGAACATCGGCAGCGAACATTCTCGAACGTGGACGACGACCACCACCATGGCCACGACGCCTGGCGACGCTGAGAACCGTTGGAACATCGGAGCGGAAATCGCCAAGCATCCACGCAGACGAGGGCGATGACAAGGACGACCACCTCCACGAAGTCTGGCGAGGCCGAAGGTCGGCACCAATCGCAAGATATCGAGCGCGGGCATGGTGGAAAGCTGACGACGGAGCTCGTCGAACACTCGCGAGGAAGCCTGGCGACGCAGATCGCCGAGAACCGACGACTGAGCTCGTCGGGAATCGTCGACGGAGATCTTTGAACACCGATGTCGGCCACGACGCTTGGTGACGCCGCCACTCCGGCGACGGAGAGTCGCCGCCGTCGCCGTCGAGGACGTGGCAGACGGGAGGAGGAGGGGGAGGAGGAGGGGTAGGAGGAGGAGGAGGAGGAGGGGGAGGAGGAGGGGGAGGGGTAGGAGGAGGAGGAGGAGGAGGAGGAGGAGGAGGAGAGGAGGAGGAGGTCGCCGCCGTCGCCGTCGAGGACGTGGCAGAAAATAGGCGACGTCCACGGCCACGGCCACGGCCACGGCCACGACGGCGCGGCGACCTCGGCCACCCCCTCCAGAGCTCGGCGTCGCACTGCTTCGCCCGGCGTTCGCGCCCGGACTCCGCAGGTCGAAGATCTGGACGCCCGAAATGGGTACTGAAAGAATGGGTACTATGCCCAACAGCGGATCTTGTTCATTTTGTTGAACAAGATCCGCTGTCCACGCCGCCGCGGCTTGTGTCCATTCCAGACAGGAGGCCGCCCGCCCAACAGCGGCCGCTGTTGGTCTGGGACAACATCTGCTGTTGGGCATAGTACCCATTTTTTCGGTACCCATTTCGGGCGTCCAAAGAAGAAGAAACAATACTCCAGATTTCGTGATATAAAGGGCGGGGGGTCTCATTTCGGGGGGGGGTCTCTTCCAGGCCATCTTGGAGGGCCTGGAGGGTCTGGGGGCGATGTTTTGGAGGGGTCTCCCACGGGGGAGGTCCGAAATGGCTTGTCTTGGAGGGTCCAGACCCCCTCGCTTTTATTACGAAATCTGGAATAGCATAAACAGCAACGTTCGACGGTCCGCACGGATTTGGGCCCGGCCCCCTCTGGCGGCGCCTCCGACGCGCTCCGCGAGCCAGGGAGGGGGTTTCCAGCCCAGATCTCAGAAACCCCCGCGGACCTCAAAAAGTGTCTAGTTGCACCGTTGTTTCTTCCTCCAGCGTGGCCTTCGCGGAGCGGTCCAGCTTGAGATGTGCCTCAGAAAGTCGGGGAGACGCTCTGGTCCCAGACACCAGACGATGTGATTTTAGCTTTAGGTCGGGCATGTCCTCCTACAGGCAGATGCTGGAAGGAAAATCAAAAATTCTCCAAACATAGTCAAAACTAATCGAACAATCGTCCCCAGAGTATGTGTTGACTAGTTTGGCATGTTCCTCCCGGAGAACGACGTCCCCGGATTCATGTCAGCAGCGCGTGGCCCCCAGAGGTCTCGAGTTTGTTGTGGCACGGCCCTGGGGCCGACCACTGGGCCCGGGGGCCGACGCCGAAGGGAAGCACCAGGACCGAGAAGATAGTAGAGGAGGAGGAGGAGGAGGAGGAGGAGGAGGAGCAGGAGGAGGAGGCGGAGGAGGAGGAGGAGGAGGAGTTGCAGGAGGAGGGGAGGAGGAGGAGGGAGGAGGAGGGAGGAGGAGGCGGAGTTGCAGGAGGAGTTGCAGGAGGAGGAGGAGGAGGAGGAGGAGGCGAAACACCTAGGAGAAGCACCAGTCGGAGATCCGGGATCATCTTTTTCCCTGGAGTGCTACGTTTTCTTCGCGACGCCAGATCTCGGGGTCTCGCACTCCTCCTCCTCCTCCTCCTCCTCCTCCCTCCTCCTCTCCTCCCTCCTCCTCCTCCTCTCCTCCTCCTCCTCATCCTCCTTACTCTTCCTCCCTCACCCTCCCTCCTCCTCCTGTTCATCCAGTTCTCAAAGACGTTCCACTGTTTCGCGCAGTGATGGACTGAGCGGCTTCCTGCGATGTTGTATTCTGTCGCGACATCAGATCTCCGGACCCCTACCCCTTCCTCTTCCATCCTTTTTCCTTGAGAACAACTCCTCCGTGTCGCACCCCCTGACGTGTCGGTAGGCAGGGCCAGGTGTTTCGCTTGAGACTTCCTCACAATTCATGATCTTGAAGCTTCAATTTTTCAACAGTCAATGAGGAAGTTGCGTTGGTTTTCAAGATGTGGCTTTCCCCTTAGCGCCGCGCGCACTTGTCCTAAAAGCTTGCAGCAGCTGCACGACTGGAGGGCGGCTCCTTTTCGAATTGTGAATCTCGCTTTAGCGCCGCGCAGATTTGCCTTGAAAGTTTGCAGCAGTTTCAAGGATTCGTACGCTTGAAGTTCCATGAATGGTGTTCTTGCACGTTTTAGGGTTGCCAGGGCGCAACCATCACGTTGATTCGCGGCGTTGAAGTCCCAGGAATTGTGTGTTCGGCGCGGTTGAGGGTTCTCAGACTGTTGTCTTCCAATGGGGCACCTCCCGCAATGACAGTGCATGCTTGTAGGGGCCTATAGCATTGAATTTGGAGTGAGGGTAATTTGCAATATCGCTGACGCGTCTTAGGTTTACATTGGTCTTCCTACTCCTCCTCCTCGTCCTCGTCCTCCTCGTCCTCCTCCTCCTCCTGCTCCTCCTCCTCCTCCTCCTCCTCCTCCTCCTCCTCCTCCTCCTCCTCCTCCTCCTCCTCCTCCTCCCTCCTCTTTGGCTTATGAGGACGGCCTGTGAGACGGGCTGGCATACTGCATCGCCGCCCTCCTTCCCCCTCGCTCAGCTCGAGGCACTTGGCGCCGCAGCGCCAGGCGCGGGACGCGGGGACGCGAGGCCGGGGACAGGGGCGATCCATCCAGGCACGGGGCCACCCCAGCACGCCCCCGTGAATGTCATTGCTCTGGGACGGATCCGCTCCTCCAGGGTCCTCCTCTTGAGGGGCCCATATCCCACCACCACGTCCATATGTAGGAGGAGGAGGAGGGGGAGGCGGAGGAGGAGGCGGAGGCGGAGGAGGAAGAGAAAGAGGAGGATGCGCGATCGGGGCCCCTCGCCGAGCTATAGATTTTCGACGATGCATCGCCGATTCCAGGCCGATGGCAGGGCTCGTTTCGATTCTCCTCCGGTTCGATCCGATGCGATTTCGATGGCCTCGATGCCGATTCGGTTCGACTCGGGATGCCGGTCTGGGTGCCGGTTTCTCGATGGAGGCCTATTGCCGATTCTACCGATTTCTACCGATTTCTACCGATTCTACTATTCCCGACTCGGCCGCCGAGTTTTCTGTTGATCCGATGCGTGCCGATCGCCGAGCCGACTCGTGGATTCGATTCTGGGCTCTCCTGCGATGCTTCCCCCCCGGAGCTGGTCCCCCTACTGTTGATGGGCGTGCTTTCCACTACCACCACCAGAAGTTGGAGGGGGAGGGGGTCCTCCTCCTCCTCCTCCTCCTCCTCCTCCTCCTCCTCCTCCTCCTCCTCCCTCCTCCTCCTCCTCCTCCTCCTCCTCCTCCTCCTCCTCCTCTACTATCTCCTCTACTATCTCCTCGGTCCTGGTGCTCCTCATCGGCGTCGGCCCCCGGGGCCGGCGGCCGGCCCCCCGGGGCCAAAACACGCCCATCGTACCGCTGCCCCTCGCCAGGGCTCGGGCCGTGCCTCCCCGCGACGCGCCGCACCTCGGGCCCGCCCCCCCCCCCCTTCGGGGCAGGCGGCGCCCCCGCGGCGGCGCACGCGGACCTGCTCGGCACCGGCGACGCGCCCGCGCCGGCGGCGGGGGCCTCGGCGGCCTCGGCGCCGCGGCGCGGGCCTGCGGACGCCGTCGCCGTCGTCGATCGTCGGCGTGGTCTGATCGAGGGCTGGCCGATCGCCAGGGGCAGCGGCGGGGTCATGTGGCTCCCGAGTCGTACCTGAGGTCCACATCTAGGGGAACAAAAAGTGACATAAACATAAACACTCGGAGGTCCGCGCGGATTTCTCGGATCGGCGCTGGGGCCCCCCGGCGGCGCCTCCGGCGCCGCCCCTGGCGCGCTCCGCGCTCCGGGGCCCGATCCGGGAAATCCGCGCGGACCTCCGAGTTTTTATGTTTATCTTATTTTTTGTTTCCCTATCATCCCAGAAATGATCTCGAGCACCCAGAAAATAATCGAAACAGTGTAGAGCGAGTCTCGCCTTCCGGGGCCCGACACGTGGAGTCCCTCCAGTGTGGGTATTTCCTTGGTGCTCGAAAGTCTTCTTGGTGATCAAAGCTAAGGCTAAGGTAGGTTGGCACATCATAACGGTACCCCAGTCGCACACTGACCGCCGATAGTGGCGTGATGGCCCCGCCCCGCCCAGATCCAGGATCGATCGTCTGGCCAACAGGCTTGGCATCGCTCGGACGTGTGCATTTTCTTTTTCGGCGAGGACCTTCGAGGAGCATCCGCGACCATCTGGCGAAAAAAACACGCACGAAACCGAAAAAAACACAGGGAATGGACGTCCGAGCGATGGCCAGCAGGGGGCCACTGTCGGTCCTCAGGTCCGATCAGAACTGGGCACGTACGAGGCGGGAACCTCCGGGAAGGGGAGCGGGAAAATCCGGGTCGCCCCCAGCGTCGTCGCGGTTTTCTACGATGTGCGGTGGTCTTCCGCGGTTCTTTTCGCAGGGTGCCGCAGGTCCTCCGGGGGCTCTCGGAGCCTCTCGGAGGTTCTCGGAGGATATCGTCGTCCACGTCCTCATCGTCCGTGCCGTCTGTCGTTCTCCGTCGTTGTCTGTCGTCCGTCGCCGCCGTCGTCGTCAGTCGTCGTCGTCAGTCGTCGTCGTCGTCGTCGTCGTCGTCGTCGTCGTCGTCGTCGTCGTCGTCGTCGTCGTCGTCGTCGTCGTCCGTCGCGTCGTCCGTCGTCGTCGTCGTCGTCGTCGTCGTCGTCGTCGTCGTCGTCGTCGTCGTCGTCGGTCGTTCGCGATGCTCGTGGCGCCAGCGGAGGGGTGTAGAGAGGTGCTGGAAAGGCCTGCCTTCGGCGTCGAGCCCGGGAGGAAGTCAGAAGGAGAAGGCCCTCTCGGAATGCTTGGAAGTCCCCAGGCCTTCTGAGAAGTTTTCTAAGCCTTCCCCGATGATGCAGAACACCTCTCAGAAGGCACGAAGGCTTCTGAGAAGCCTCTCCGCCCTCTGAGGAGGCCTTCTCCTTCTCACTTCCCCCCCTCGCTCGCCGCCGAGTGTAGAAAGGTCCGGGAGGCCTGACCGACTTCCACCAGGCCGACGCCTTCCACGACGACCCCCCCCCCCGCCTAGCTCCGATAGCAGGCAGGCGGCCGGGGGCGGGGAGGGCCTCTCGAGGGTAAGGGGCCGCGAGAGCGGGGGCGTTGTCGTACGTTCCCAGCGGTTTTCCAGCCCTGGGCTTGGCATCGCTCGGACGCGTGCATTGTCTGATCTCGGCGAGGGCCATCGAGGAGCATCCTGGATCATCGAGCACAAGAAGGCACGCGCGCAATCGAAAAATGCACGGGGAATGGGCGTGCGAGCGATGGCAAGTGGGATGCCGTTCACAATTCGCGCCCCGCCGAGAGCCTTCCAGAGGTACCCGGGTCGTCCCGAACAGCCGCCAGAGACCCGAGTTTTGACCCGGACGTCCTGGACACCCGATGCTTTTCTGTTGTCATACGGGGCCATTGGCAGGAGTGGACTCAAATTGTGTTTGGGCGATTCCGTGGGCCGTTTTCGTTTCGATGTCGTGTTGCAGCAAAGGTGGCTTGAAGACAAGCAACGAGGGAAAACGAAAGCAAAACGAAAGCGAAAGACATCGTTTAGATCGATCCCTGGTCCCCGGAAGCCCCGACCCTTCACCCAGGGCCGGTGCTTCCTACCGAGTCGTCTGCGGGTGCGCCGATAGGAGTGGGAACAAGGAAAGGCGACACCAACACCAGCAGGGCGAGGAGGTGCGAGGAGGCAAGGGGAGTCTCCCTGGTGGTGTGGTCCCCCCCCTCTCGCTCGAGACATGCCCAGCATCCAGCTCGGAGAGGCATCGTGGACCTCTTCGCTGGAGGTGGGCCCCCTGGCGGTGTTGGTATCGCTTCTCCTCCCTACGATCGGGGGAGGGCTGGGGAAAGGGGGGCCATTGCATCATGGCCAGGCACGTGTGCGGACGAGGGGCGAGGCCAGGGGTCCCCATTGAAGGACAAAAAAGGGACCGTGACAACAAAAAAAACATAATGGGTTCGTCTTCGCCGACATTCGCGCGCAAGCTGCCCGCGTAAGCCCGCGCGCGAGCGCCCTCGTTCCCATTGCAGCTTGCCGCGCTTTGGCGGCCCGCGCGAGCCGCGGCGTTAGGACCCGTTCTTCATCGTCGCCCATGTTGGGTGAGCTCGTGGCCTCCGTCCCCGTCCCCGCCCCCCTCTTCGAGGCCACCGAGTCCTGACGGTCCTGGGGCCCGGAAGCGGCCCACGGGCGCCGAAAATTGCCAGCACAGACCCGCTTTGATTTGTCCGCTGCGTTGGAGGTTTGGGTACGTCGACGTCGTCCACTCTGAGATCCGAAGTCCCGAAAAAATAGATCGAACAGAATGTGCATCTGGTGAAGTAGGACGACAGGAACCCTACAGGGTCCGGCTTGAATACGGAACGCTTATTTCTCAGAAGGGGCTCGGTCGTTCCTTCGGTTTGCGTGCGTTCCGCTACTTTTTTGGCGGCGAGCCCCTGGTGTTCCCTCGGACTTCGTAGACTTACTTTGGAAAAGAGGGGCTTCGTTCCCGCGTTATCGTTCCTCAGGTCAGGCCGAATACTGTATAGTATACTTCCCTCCTCTGCGGAGTTCCTCTGGCCGCGTCGGCGAGCGATGGCTCCGGAGACCACATCCTGGCGACGCCGACCAGTGTAAACCAATTGTCAATTGTGACGCCTGGATCTCCGGGTCGATCGTCGTCGTCCTCGCCGCCGTCACCCAGCAGGGGCCTCTCGCCGCCCGCTCGCCCCCCTCCACGACTCCACGGCGTCCCGACCGTGGCGAGGAGAGCCCCCCCCGACAGGAGCGCCCACCAACCTCCGAGACGCAGGCGCAGACGTCGGTCGTAATGTGATCGTTTTTTCATGCATTGCTTGGCCGGTCGGCGCGGGCCCTCCTCCTCCTCCTCCTCCTCCTCCTCCCCTCCTCCTCCTTCTCCTTCTCCTCCTCCCCCTCCCCCTCCTCCTCCTCCCCCTCCTCCTCCTCCTCCTCCTCCTCCTCCTCCTCCTCCTCCTCCTCCTCCTCCTCGCAGCGGCCACGGGGCGTGGCGCCCTCGCCCGTGCTGCGCGTGCTGCCCGCTGCCCGCTGCCCGCGGCCCACGGGGGCCCCTCCCCGCGCAGATCTTGGCTGTCTTTGGCGCCTGCTTCGAGCAGGCGGAGTCTCCTAAAACGACGCGAAGATCGGGACAAAATCGGATCGGGATAACTCGAAATCTCTGAGAATCGGCGGGTTTGGAGGATGTATTGGGCGCCGCGGCCGTTCCAGAGCGTTCCGGAACGCTCTGGGAGCGCTCCGGAACGCTCTGGATCGATTTATCCCGATCCTAGCCCTGTTTTATCTCCCCCAGAGGGCGCACTGCTGCAAGCAGTCGTACTCAGCAGAGGTCCGGAGCCAGACCCCCCCCCCTCTGCCCCGCTTCCGCCCAATACGTCGAAACGCCAAGTAAAAATATGCTCACTCACAATCGGCGTCTCCTCGTGGCGTGCCTCCCTGGCCCCCCCCCCCGGATCTGACCAGCGCTTTTTTCTTAAAGCCAGATCTCCTAAGGGTTTCCAGCCGCGTAGACCAGGAGCTTCTGGGAACGGAACGCTCCAAAATCTGGGCAATGACGACGTCGCCGTCGCTCGTCCCTCGTCGCTGGTCGTCGTTCGCGGTTGTCCGTCGTGCTCGTCGCCGTCGTCGCTCCCCGTCGATCGATCGTCCTCGCCGCCGTCGCTCGCCGTCGCTCGGCGCCCCTCGCCGTCGCCCCCTCGCTGCTCGCCGTGCCCGCCCGCCGCCGCCTCGCGGCCGCCGTGCCCGCTCGCCGCCGCCTCGCGGGCGCCCGAGGCGGAGGCGGACCTGCTCGGCACCGGCGGCGGCAGCAGCGGCGGCGCCGCCCTCGGCGGGCCGGGGCCCTCGTGGGTGCGGGGGAGGCGCAGCTGCCCAGAGGTGCCGGTCGCGGGGGCGGCCATAGGAGGGGGGTGGGGAGGGGGAGGAGGAGGAGAGGAGGATGAGGAGGAGAGGAGGAGGAGGAGGAGGAGGAGGGGGAGGAGGAGAGGAGGAGGAGGAGGGGGAGGACTAGGGAGGTGTGGATATCATGGCGGGGGCCAGAATGTCTCCCCAGATTGCATTCCCCCCTTCTTCATTTCAAATACGTTCCCTGGCTCCCCCTTGGTCTGCGCACATGCCTCGGTCCATGATTTGCACACACCCCTCTTGAACACCCCCCTCTCGGACGCCCCCGAGCATCGACTAGACGTGAGAGTGACCTCTGGCCAGAGTGACCTCTTGGTGCGGGCTCACCGGGGTCCCCCCGACCGCTGATCGCGATGCGACAGCGGCTGCTTCCACGCTTGGGTTTGGCCACCCTGCGCAGCCTCAGTCCGCGCACGAACGGTCACTCTTGCCCAGGGTCGTTCTTGCGTATAGCCGAGGTCCAGCGTGCCCGTCTGTCGATAGGGGGCCCGACGGCCCCAACCTGCCCACGCGCGTGCGGGCTCGCTATCGGGGGTCTACCGCCGATCTATCGGCGAGGTACCGCTGATGCGGTTTCGACGTGTCCCCCTGCGGAACTGTTCCCCCCCTGTCGTTGCCCGTCGCTGCCCTTCAGGCCAGGTGGAGAAGCTCCACGGCTAAGTCCTCGCGGCGCGGCAGGATCACACGGCCCATCGGTCGTTGACAAAAAGGGATGTGTGGACGCGCAGATCCCAATCGGTTGAAGCCGCCTTCATACTTCAAGAGCCGAGTGGTTTGCCTCCCCCTGAGCGGGTCCGAGTGCTTTCCCCTCCTCCTTCTCCTCCTCCTCCTCCTCCTCCTCCTCCTCATTCTCCTCCTCCTTTTCCTCCTCCTCCTGCTCCTCCTCCTCCTCCTCCTCCTCCTTTTCCTCGTCCTCCTCCTTCTTCTCCTCCTCCACCCCCCATCCCGCCTCCTCCTCCTCCTCCTCCTCCTCCTCCTCCTCATGCCCCTCCTCCCTCGTGCTGGAGAGGGCTAACGTTCATCTTGCTTCGTACGCCCCGCGGCGTGAAGGAGGTGCGGCGTCCGCCCTCACCGCCAAGTTGATTAGTGGCGTGACGTCCTACTTCGCTCGGAGCCTGGAGCTTGCAGTGGTCGACCGCGCGTTCCCCTCCCTCTCCCCCTGCGCGGCCGTTCTCGTCTTTCTCCCCCGCTCTTGCACGCAGGCCAGTTCGCATTCCGGTTGCCCCGAATAGCCACGCGCTGGAGCGGACTGTCTCTGCCTCGCCGCCGCCAGAAGAAAGCAAAGTGTGTCTGCCTCTCGGTAGCCTGTGTCGGCCCTCCCTCAATACCGCCATTTGCGTCGCACTGCGGGGCTGCGGTGGACAAGCACACGTTGGCGCTAACACACGTTCTGACGATCATATAACTAGAGGAGGGCGATGCTTGTTCATGGAGGGTAGAACTGATTGAAGCTTTGGGGGAGCCTTGTTTGCCTCACGGAGCGCTCTCGTGGCCGCGACTAGATTCGCTTCAAAATTCTGACCAGAACGCAACCCACTAGAAAGGCCCGCAGTTAGATCCTTCCAATGCGTGGGCATGTTTCGGGCCCTGGAAGGGCACGCCACCCAGATCGAGGATCGAGGTGTTCTTGCGCGCTTTGTTAGTTTGGAGCCACCAGGGGGTTATTAGTGGCCCCTATTGGGTGCGCCTCGAAGTTCTGGCACGAATGCGTTTCTTGACAGGTCCAGGGGCCCCTAATGGTCGAGGGACGTAAGACTTCCTCCTCCCCTCACCTTCTCCTCCGCCTCCTCCTCCGTTTCCACCTCATCCTCCTCCTGCT